TCGGCAACCTTTCGTGTTTCAACTAAGGATGTTAAAATGTGGTTAATTGACTAGTCAACTAGTTGATGGAATTTCCATCAACCCTGGGCTCCACTGCCCCTTTGAAACATAAGGACATGGTGGGCTCTGCACAGCCTTTCCCCACAACCTGGGGACAGCCGGGTTCTGAGCTGTTGGGTGGCTGCTCCTTTAAAATGCCACCTCAGTAGGAGAGTGATACCTCCAGGATTTCTCCTCCTTCAGACAATGTTCTAACACCCCCCACCCTGTGCTGTCCTTGGTTCTGTCAGCCAACCACCTCTGATCTTCTCCCTTCCAGGTCTGAGCTGCAACTGAGCTGCTTCTAGTCCTGCAGCTTCTTTTGTAGTCCCTCCTGGGCCCTGATTGGCTGGTTTCTTCCTAGCCACTCTAGCCACCCAGAGGACTTGTCAATGGCCTTTTTCTGGTGCAGGTTGTGGCAGGACCACAAGGGCTCCATCAGGGGCCTCAGGGCCTGGTCCACCCCATCACAGTGCACTACGGGCATGTCTACACTAGGAAATTGTAGTGTATTGACATACATGTATTTTGAAATAGACCAATTTCAGGGCTTCCCTGTCGTGTGGACATGCTGAGATATTCTCCCTTAATGTGGACACGCTACCTTGACTTAGAGCCCCAGGAACAACTGGGGAGCAATAACTTTGAATGACTCGGGGGGGGGGGGGTTCTGTTTCACACTGCTGTTATTTTGAAATAAGCATTATTCCTTGTGGAAAGCAAGAGTTATTTGGAAATAAGGGGCTGGTTATTTCGAAATAACAGGCTTGTTATTTTGAAATAAGGGGAGTTATTTTGAAATCATTTCCTAACGTAGACCAGGGCTAACCGCAGCAGAGCTAGCATGGGTCTGGGTACCTGCACTCAGAAGGATGCTCTCAGTTGCAGTGTAGACACACCCTGAGAAAACAGGCCCTATAATCACAGTACATAAACCTGGCATAGCCATATGAACTGTGTTTAGTCAACTGCCAGGGTATTATAAAACTGCAGTCACTATATTCATTGAACAAAGACTTTTTGTGTGTGCAGCATTTTTCTTTGACATCACAGAGACTGGGCCAACCCCTGGAGTACATTACAAGTGAGCAGGATTTGACCCCAGATTAGTAATGAAGTGCAAGTATCTGAAAATTATCAGTGCAGAAAGTGCTGTCGCACTGAGAGTCAAAATGCCTGTTATAGGCCATTTTGAGGCACAAAATCTCTAGGCAATTATCACTGGATTTGCACCCCTTATTACATTGTCTTACATTTCAAATCTTTATTTCATGCCCATACGTTTTCCCCCCTCTGATTAGCAGGCTCCAAACACTGCCGCACTACAATGTAATAGCTCTCTAGCTGAACACCACTCTTCATGGTCATTAAAAGAAAACGACTGAATTAATTCAGGAACTCAACAGCGTTCTGTTGAACTGAATTTGAACCACAAAAAAACAGACCAACCAATGTGCACTTAGATGGAGGAGGAAAAGGGTAATAAAAATAGCCACAACTCAGTTCTAATCAAACCAAACTCTCTAAGAAGAAAACACTCTAATGAAGCACTTAATGACTCTTTACTCTTTTTCACAATTGATGAATTTGAAAAAAAAATCTAGAAGACTGTGAAAATCCAATGTGAAAACTTTACGCAAAATTGCACAAGTTCCATTCACACTAAAAAGTCGGCATGGGTAAGTGTGTTTGAATAAGACATGGAGAAAGAACATGTATGCTTCCTGGGTATATATAGTATGGTGTGCGTCATGCATGTGTAAGGACTGTTGCATAGCAACAGGACTGCTTTGATATTAGGCCACACAAGAGATCATCAATTGTTTGTTCCATGCAGGAAGCCCTAAGCTTCCTAAGCCTCCACCTTAAACCAAATCCGAATATCCTGTTGTAGAGTAGTTTTTGATTTAACATTTTTAAATTATATGAAGACGGGTATTCAGACTAGTACCTCAGCTCTGAGAACTCCCCCATCTCCTTAATTTTAGAGGTAGTTGAACATCATGACCTTAGAGGGAATGCTTTCCTGAAGCCTGGTCTATAATAGACCAGGCAGGTGAGCTGAAGGTATGCCATCCAGCTACGCAAAATGTGTAGGTAGATTCAGCTTACCATAAGCCGAGCTAACGTGGCATCTACACTGTTGGAAGCTGACGGGAGCACACACTCCTATTGGCTTCCTTTATTCCACACAGAATGAGGAGTACCAGATGCTGGCCATGTCCTCAGCATTCAAGGTAGGGGTCTACACTAGACCTGCTAAATCAAACGTTAGAAGATCGACCTCTGGAGGTCTCTTTTCCTTTTTTAAAAGGAAATTTCTCCTTTCCCAAAATGTCCTCTACTGTTCAATGAATTCAACTTAAATAGGGAACTGTTCAGTGTTCCAGATTCAGGACCTGATCTAAAGCCCATTGAAGTCAATGGATAGATGTCCAGATAGAGGTCTAGTATCATCCTTTGTCATATGTCTATCAGGGATGATCCAAATGGTTCTTGGTGCTGTCGTAAGGGCAGGGGATTGGACTTGAGGTCCTCTTGAGGAGACTTCCAGTTCTAGTGTTCTATGATTCTATGATTAAGTAATCTCTAGAGCTAAGAAAAAGTCCCCTTTTCCCCTCCCCATCCTGAGTAGGCTCAAAAAGTCCCAATATCATTTTTTGGCAAAATGAAAAAGTTCAGATTTGATCTCTTGTGATGCCCTTTTGAGATCTGATTCCCATGTTGCACCACATGGCTCGGTCAGAGGTGATGCCAGTGTGCATCATGGGAATTGCAGTTTGGCCAAAGAGCCTGGCTCATTGCAACTACAATTCCCAGGAGGCAAAGTGGCACCAGCAGGAAATGCAGTTTCATGTTGAACTGACTCAGAAAATTTTGAGTATTGGGGAAGCTGCTTTTTTTCCATGAGAAAATATTAGATTTTTTTACCCAAAAGACATCATGTCCCAAAAGCATTGTGGAAAATCAAAGTGACACATTTTATTGAGTGATTTTTTGACAGACAATTCTTGGCTTGCTCTAATAATCCCATATACCAGTGTTTTGTAGCTTGGATCATATAAAAAATGCTACAACACCTGATATATTGGGGGGAAGCTCAAAGGGGGCAGTATGAGAGGAAGGGTCTGTCTTGGTTCTGTGTCTGTACAGCACCGAGCACAACGGGCCGTGGTGCTTGATAGGGTCTCCTCGATGCTACAGCTACAATTAATGATTATTCTTATTGACTCTCTCAGCTATTCCACGTGGGACTATTCAGTCTCAGCCTGTCGTAGCCTGACTGGAAGTGAACTCCCTTGGGCAAAGTGGAGATGGCGGCTTTCCATGTGAGGAGCTGCTAACACAGTGTGTTCTAGTACATCCTCATTCATTCTAGCAAGTTCACTTGTGCGCTTAGGCCCAGTCCTGGGCGAGGGATGGTGGCTGACCTTTGCGCCACGGGAGAGGCAATGACTCAATGTTTATGTACACACAGGGTTGTGCCAGTATTGACTTAGAGCGTGACTTTACATTGATGGGGCTAAATCAGTCCAATTGACAATGGGGATGCCTCCCTCCCTTGTTTTAAGAATTCAGAATCCTAACATACAGGAACCCCAAAACAGCCGAAGGAAAAGCAGGCTGCTCCATAAAACAGAAAGGAACAATTCACTCCAATTTATCTAGGCCTCCCTTAAACCCAAATTGCACTCCCGGGTGCAAGCCGGACAAGGAACAAAACCTTTGCATGCTGACATGCCAGCTTACGATTTCAATCACCACGGGACTGCTGCATCAGAAGCATGGGCTACCTTCTGGCATTCCAAACGTAGCCTGAGGTGAGTCTCCCAAAGGTCACATGGCTCCACACAAGCACCAGTTCTGCTTGGGAGGGTCAGCTCAGAGGAACAGGATCTTAGAAGCCAGTCGTACGATCCTCATGCAAACGAAACTGTAAAGCAAGAGCGGGGGCTAGTTAACATTAAGAAACATTTTATTCCTATGGCTCCTCATTGCTTTGTTGTATGAATTGCAAATCAAGGGCCTGGTCATGCTTCCACCAGTCTGCATGGATGGGATTAGAGACATCTAAGATGACATGCATAGAGCAGAGGAACACTGGCCCCATGATACGGCCTTCCCATTACTGTGACATGTTTATTTATACTGAAGTGTCATCCAAGGCATCTATGCATGGACCAGGGCCCCATCATGCTAGGACACAGAAGAACCCCCGCCTCATGAAGACCACTTCATATATACAGCACTAAGTTCTGGGACCAGAGCTCCTTGGGCCCAGCTCCCGTAAGGGAAAGTCTCGCCCTTATCTATTTGTTCATATTTTGAAAACCTGTCATAATTATCAGTTGTATCATAACACTTAGGGTCCCGGTCATGGACCTCATGAATCCAACACAGCACAATTCAAGTGGAAGGATATTTGATTTTGGATCAAGGGTGTATAATTGAGTCATAGGCATGGACTCCGTGGGTGCCCCAGGACTGGAGCACCCATGGGGAAAAATTGAGCATGCATGGTAGGCCCCCCCATATCAGCACCCCTCTTCCCCAGGGACCTCCCACCCACAAGACCCATGGATCAGCACCTCCCCTTCCCTCTCCAGGCCTCCCGCTGTTTTGCAGCATTCAAGAAGCTCTGAAGGGGGAAGGAGTAACAACACAGTACACTTAGGGGAGGGGGCAGAATGAGGCAGGGTGAGGGTGGGGTTTGGAGAAAGGGGTGGAGTCAGCTCAGGACCTGAGGCGAGGTGAGGACTTGGGCAACCCCCAGCACATTTGAAAGACGTTGCCTGTGGTGTGAGTCATTGGCACGGTGGAGGGATTCAGGTACACAACTCCCTTCACAAATATTTTGCTCGTCATGCTATTTCTATTTCTGCTTTTCAGTCCTCTGAGGTTTGTTCTGGGAGCTGGTTTCCATGAGCCATTGTCCAGTCACGTTTGGCAATGGTTGGGCTCTTTCTTCAGACCTGGTGCTTTTGCTCATTGCTGGAGATAGTGCGAGCAGTACAGTGCTTACCGTAGCTAGGATGAGACCTCCTGGAAGAGCTGCGGAGACCACTTCATCCACACCGCTGCTTCCTTGAGAGCTAACAGGGCCTCGGTATTCCAAAGTAGTGCACAGATTTTTCAGAAGCACTGAGCTTTCCTAGTTCCCTCGTGGAAGTCTCTGGATACTGTAGGTAGAACTAGTTAGGAAATCACACACACTTGGTGCTTGGCTTCCATCAAACATGAACATATTTTCGGTACAAAGTATTTGAATGAAAGAAAAATGCAGGACAATGTAGCACTTTAAAGACTAACAAGATGGTTTATTAGATGATGAGCTTTCGTGGGCCAGACCCACTTCCTCAGATCAAAACCTGGCCCACGAAAGCTCATCATCTAATAAACCATCTTGTTAGTCTTTAAAGTGCTACATTGTCCTGCATTTTTCTTTCATTCAAATACTTTGTACCGAAAAAGACAAATTCTCGTCACACAAAAAATTGTCTTTGAAGAAAGATCATTTTTCAGTGCAAAAAAAAAAAAAGGCGGGGGGCATTCTGAAAACTTCCATCGGCTCTAGCTGCAGGGGCTCAGCAAATCTGCAAAGCAGTCCAGACGAGGTCTGCATGCTAAAGAAACTCAGACGAATTAAGTTTTGAACTGAAAAAGTCTCCAAATGTTCCCAGGACCATCTCTAGGATTTGTTTAGAGAAACAGAGAAATGTGTAATTGTCAGGCACTGATAAATTGTGTAAGAAGCCCTATTGATGATTCATACCAATAGAATCTACTGCAAAATAAACTCTGACCTTAATACTCAAGAGACCTACTTAGAGCATCCTGCAAGACAATGATATATTTCTGCACACTAACCTCTGAACAGTTTGCCTCTTCAGCTCCTTGGAACAAGCTAGTTCCAATTAAAGGGAAGCGGTGGAATCTCTCAGACATTTGTTTCAGTGACAGGATATGCAGGGGTTATGATGTCAGAGTGCCAAGAACAGAAGGCAGGAAAAGCTGGCGTAGGGCTCGCGTCAGGATTAGAATATGGAGTGTTGGAACACTGGAGAAAATATTGCTCTGTTAAAAAAAACCTAAGCTGTACAGAGAATAAGAGAGAGAGGAAGGATGGTTTTGTGGTTAAGGAAGAGGGCTTGAACTCGGTTCTCAGCTCTGCCATTAACTTGCTATATAGAATCATAGAATCACAAATTCATACGGCTGGAAGAGACCTCAGGAGTTGAGTCCATCTCCCTGTCCAAAGCAGGACCAACCCCAGCCCAATCAGCCCAGCCAGGGCTTTCTCAAACTGGGACTTAGAAACCTCTAGGGATGGAGATTCCACCCCCTCCCTAGGGAACCCAGCCCAGAGCTTCACCGCCCTCCCAAGGAAATTGATTTTCCTAATAGCCAACCTTATCAAGGCTGTTCCCCACTCTGGCACTGCAAGTGCAGAAACTGGGGGCCCACAAGAGACCTTAAAAATACCCTGTGTCTATAAACTTCTACTTAAAAGCTCCCCAGGATCACAGATTCCCGGGCCTTAGGAGGTAGCTGCCACCATCAAGCTATTTCATTCCTGATAACCAGGAACACTCTACTTTCTTCCCCGGGGGTACCCCACGCTCTTTTGCCACAAGAGATCTTAAAAAAAAAAAAGAAACAAAAAACACAGAAAACAAACTGTCTCTGAGAGCTGACCTCCCAGGTGAGGCAGACACACACACGCAGACCTCCAGTTACCTACCAGGACACTAGAAATCAACCGTGGCCTAAAAAATGTGATTGTATTGACAAAACAAAAAGGCACACTTGATAAAGCATACTTGGTTGCTAGGTATTACAGAGCAACTAAAGAAAGAGCAGATTAAAACAGAGGTGTACCACGAGGTGTACCGGTAGTTCAGAATAGGAATCCTAGTTCAAACTACCTAGTTCGAGCCCCGTGTAGCCACGCTGCACGGGGTTCAAACCAGCGGGGTTTTAAAAATGGCGGCTCCCCGCTTATGCAAATGAAGCCCGGGAAATTCAAATCCCGGGCTTCATTTGCAAGTGTGGTATGCCTACATTACCCTGCTAGTTCGAACTAGGAGGGTAGTGTAGACATACCCTGATGTACTTCATTGCTCCAGTGATGAGGGCCATGTTAATCCGCAGATATATGTGTGTCCTTCAGCACTGGACATAGGAAACGGGGAGAAAATAAAGAGATCTTGCTGACTATGGCCCCATTGGTCTTCCAAGCTTGTGAGCCAAATTTGTCCCACGTATCATTCAAATACACCCCCCTAGATACAACTTTACTGACACTGAGAGGAGAGAACAGAGGTGGAGCTATTTTGGATGGAAGAGCTGGCCACCAGAAAATGGCTGTTTCCTCAAAATCTAAATGTTGATAGGGAAAATTCTCAAAAAATCCAGACCAGACGGGAGCATTGTGTTCCTACTTTCTCCTTTCCTTTTGTTCCAACTTTTCCTTTTCAAAAAAGGTTTAATGAATGTTAACATTTGGTTTAACAGCGATGTCCAATGTATAATATAATGTCAAAGCATTCTCTCAGCTGACCATTTCAATGAGGTCATTTCAGTGTTTGAGAGGTGACTTTCCCAGGGATGGAAATTCCATTTTTGGACCAGCTCCGGAAGAGAAGACTAGGAGCAGGGTCAGGAGTCAGAACAGAATTCCCCCTAAGGTCAAGGTGACTCGGTTTCTAGCCTAGATCCTTTTGTCATTACAGGCTGCTCATTATTCACTTACCCATTCATGCTAGAAAGATGAGAAAAATCAAACTGCAAAAAACCGTTCCCCACCCAGTTGTTTCCTTCACAACTCATCATGGTCTATTGATGTTGGTCCTGCAAATGTTGCTTTTGTACTGTACTCTCCCAATGCAGCAAGTCTTGAATATTTCTAATTCTCATCTGGAAAGTCAAACAAATTGATGTCGCTTAACTTCAGTACCAGTTCAAATCTTTAAAAGGTGAATTTGGGAGTTTAAGTTTATATCATGAAAAATTGTGTCCAATTACCGGGATATTTATCTGTTAACTCCATTCCAATGTTTTCATTATTCTTGTTAATAACAATACCGATTGATTTTTTTGACACGTCCCACTGCTGCCATATGTGACCAAGTGAAGCTACACTCGGTGGGTTAAAAGTGTCATTATTCTGTCAGTAACCAATGATTAAATAGCATCACAAAAGGATAACTGATGTTTTTTCACCAACTAGAAATGCCATCCAGTCAAATTGTGGGAGCAAAATAAGACTGGTAAACTATTACGAAAACCTTTTTATTCTGTTCCCCCAAATAAAAGTACTTGGGGGTTGAAGCTTGAAAGTCTGTCCTCAGACTTTGGAAGTGAGTTGGTGCTTGTTAAAAGCACCGCAGGCAGCTTCATTATAAAAGCAAGTTAGTACATGTGAGTCCCGGCCATTAGTTTCACCAGAAGATGAATGAGCCTATTGATCTCTTTGAACCTAAAGGTTGTTATTACAGATACTAATTGTCTTCTGGTGCCCTGTTTCATACTTGCCAGTTCTGCTGTCACCACTTGCTGCACATCCTTGGAAATCTCGCACACAGAAAATGATTCACTCAGCCTGTCGGGAGTGTTTCTCAGAGGGGCCTGTTCTGCTGGAATGGATGCTTTAAAGGTTGTTGTGACGTTACTTCCGGACTGGTTTCTCCCTTCTTTCTCTTTGAAAGGATTCCACCTAAGGCACTGCACAAACAAGACAAAGCAACAAAATATGCTGTATGAATGCATACGGACCACTTGCGTTTCCCATTGTGGTGGGACTGAGGGTCCCACTAGCCTCTTGTGGAAGGGCTGTCCATACTATTCATTACATGGCTCAGATGGCATTGCAATCTTAGGTCAGAGAGCGAGCGCGAGGCCAAGCAGATGTCTGCAGTCCCTAGCAAACTCTGTTCAGGACACGGGCAAGCATTCGGGTCCCACGGATCAGGATTAAGCATCATTGGTTCCGCTGGAGAATTGGGTCCAGTTCTGGGCACTACATTTCAGGAAAGAGGTGGAGAAACTGGAGAAGGTCCAGAGAAAAGCAACAAGAATGGGAAAAACTTTCTAAGTCCAACCTAAACCTCCCCCGCTGCAATTTGAGCCTATTGCTGCTTGTTCTACTGCCCCCTCCTACACTCCTGCCCCAGGCCAAAATCCTCTCCTGCACCCCTACCCTCTCACAGACCCTGCACCACAATCCCCTGCCCCAAATTACAGCCGCCTCCTTCACCCAACCCCCAGCCAAGTCCCCACACTTCCTCCATAGAAATGTGCAACCCTTGACCACTTACCAAAATCTTGGCATGGACTCCTCATCAAAAATTATTGCCCACCCTCGGTCTAGATGAAGCAGCGACCTTACCTTTCAGGTCGTGTTAGTGTCTCCAAGCAAACCAACCCAACAGCAAAATAGGAGCATCACCAAATAACTGGCAGGATAAAGAAAAATGACTCCTCTGGTCAAAAATAATTAAATTCAGCCGACAGTGTCTTACTCAAAAGGGTTCCCACAATGATCTAGGAGAGTTTAATGATTTTATGAGCCATTCAGATGCTATTGGAAGGTCTTCTTTTGAAAAGAAATATAATTCCCTAAGACTTCCTCTAATGTCACTGGCCGCCTTCCAACAGATAGTCTTTCATTGTCTACTTAGAAGGTCTGCTCTTTGGGGGCCCACTGGATAGCATATGTTTTTACCGTGCCTAACAGAATGGGCCATGGGCCTCTAGATGCCACCACAATATACAAAAAACAAATGATGGTCATTTACCGTATCATGCCTAGTTACTGCAAAGGAAAGGCAGGCAGAACGAAAAGTGCCAATGCTTCACTGCACATTATTATTATGCATTTCCCTAAGGGGGTGGGGAAGCACTGGAATAGGTTCCCTAGAGAGGTGGTGGAATCTCCATCCTTAAGTCCCGGCTTGACAAAGCCCTGGCTGGGATGGTTGAATTGGGGTTGGTCCTGCTTTGGGCTGGGGGTTGGACTTGATAACTCTACCCTTGGGATTCTGTAATTCTATGATTATCACACATCTCTTAGGGCTACATCTAGACTGCAGGCTTTTTGCGGAAGACCTCTTCCAATAAAAGCTTCTTGCGCAAGAACTTCTTGCACAAGAGCTCGACCACACTGCAAAAGCACATCAAAAAAGTGAGGCGCTTTTGCAAAAGAGCGTCTAGACTGCATGAATGCTCTCTCAAAAGTAAGCCCTGGTTGCTATGCACAGAATGGCCACCAGGGCACCTGTGCTTTTTCCTCTTCCCTCTTCTTGCACAAAAACCCCCTCTTCCCGGTCCACACACACCTTTTTGTGCAATAACTCCTGTGCAAAAAGGTGTTATTCCTCATAGAAAGTGGAATACGAATTGTGCAAAAACCCCCTCTGTTCTTTCAATTCTCTTGTGCAAAAATGCGCTTGAGGAGTGGACACTCTGCGAGTTTTTGTGGAAAAACCGCTGTTTTTCTGCAAAAACTCTGTAGTGTAGACATAGCCTTGAGTTACCCATTTGTACTCCCCAAAGCAGCACCACAAATCCCCTGTGCTTTTGATGGCAGAGACAGGAGATG